CACAAAGCAGAGGCTGCTGTGGGAACAGCTCTGTATTTAGGTGGGTGATGGTCCCAGCTGAGATCCTTTGTTTSTCAGAGCTGAGTTTCAGCAGTTCCATCCCCACACCCACCTGACAGTGGTGCTGATTTTCAGGCGCCGAATGCCCGGGGTTGGGAACTGCCGTGAGTTCAGGTAGGAAATGTGCTGCATGGCCTTGTCCACCCTCTCAATGTCATCCCCCTCCATGGTCACTGTAGACTGACTTGGGTTCATGTGGATCTGCAAAAATGCAACAAAACGGTGAGAAAACACCAATCAAGGGATGTGATCTGGCAATTCAAACTGGAGTTCAGCACTGAATTCAAGAAACAAACATATCATAGTTGTGGTTCCAGTAATAAAGAASAGAGACACATAATACAAAGCAGAAATTTAGCTCTGCTCACACAACCTTGCTACTGAAAAAGCCACACAAATGAGTCTCATTTTATGAAGCTGCTTCTAAAGGATCTCTTTTCCTAGACAACCTTTACAGCTGCTRTAACAGAGGCTTACAAATATGGAGTTTCTCTTCAAGACTTAAAAGAGAACAGAGTAACTTTCATGCCTGAGGCCCTGCTTTTATACAAGGAAAATTTTCTAATTTTTATATCATTTTAATGCAAAATGCCACGAGAGATGAGGCTGTGGTATCTGGGACACCTTGCTAACTCTGCCAATAAAACCTGTAACTCATAGCAGAGAAGGAATACACACATTTCCCTTTGTTCACATCAACTTTACCTTCACACCTTTGCCAACACCGTCAGCCATCTGCAAATCCAGCCCCTCCTTGCAGGTGTACAGGCAATCTATCACCTTCTTGTTCTCCAGTTTCCCAGAACGGATCATCAGCCCTGCCAGGTTCCCTCGGAAAAACTGAGCCATGCGTAGTTCACCACCTACAGAAAATCAGGGACCAAAAGCTGTGCTTGTTTTGACTCTTCTTTTGTCAAGCATCAAGTRTGCCATCAGATAAACACAGGATTATACACATGCAGGTTAGTTTTCATCCATTCTGGGTGTTAACCTTGTGATTGTGGTCAGGCATAAAGAATGAAACAGTTCAGCATGCACGTGGCCTCCAGACAGCTGTGGCCACCTTGAACTGACTGTTCCAAGACAAACATTTCAAAAGAAGCCCCATACAGMGAGTGGTGCTCAGAAATCAAACACAGAACAAATGGCATGAAGCACAAAAGCTGAATGTTCCTGCTGAGGCTGCAGCTCCTGCTCCTCAGGCACAGGAGAGCATCCCTCCTSCTGCAGGGTGAAGGATCCCCACTAAACCAGCACTACAGGATCTCTACACTCAAGGGATAGAAAAAACTTCCCAAAGTCACTCAGCTCATTCTGACAGAGGTGCCAAGGGTTACCTGCCCCCCTCTAAAGGTGCCATCTTCTCTCTGCAGACTCAAGGGAGCAGCTCAAACTCAGGTAACTCATTTTCAGATCTCTGAGTAAAATCTAATGAACTGCAACCTAAGCCCTTTATTCCCTCAATGTTTTTGAAGATGACAAGACAATGATCACCAAGTCCACCTTGCTAAATACTGGGGGTCACAAACCACTTGGAAATGTGTRTTTCCAAGCCATTACTTACTAAGCTACCAGATTTTAGAAAGAAGTCTAAGCTTGTTTTAAAGATTCKAAGTGATAAAAACTCCTTGGTACCACTCAAAAAATATTCAGTGGTGAAATGACACCGTTTCCATACAGCTCCTGCTCCTGGAGCMCCTGGATGCTGCTGCCTCCTTGCCAAATGAAAATGTGATGCACAGCTAGAAACCTTGTGCCAATCACATTCAGAATATTCCAGGAATTCTTAAACATTACAGGAACATATCACGAATTCACTTTTAAAAATACACACTAATTTTAACTATCTCAAGTCAAGACACAAAACCCACTGAACTATCACTGAGATTTGTTATGAGAAAATAACCCTGCAGCCAATCTGAAAGACCTGACAGCCAAAGCTTTCTTCCTATTCTCTGGAATTAGAATTTTATATAAATTTCTGACCAAATGAGTATCCCCTGTAAATTACAGGTCTGTCTTTATGAGGAGCCTGATSTAAATAAGAACTCAGGGGAGCAAAGGCACCTGAGTTCCAGAGGTCCTTCCCAAWGCACTGAATAAATTCAATAATAAATCACATACCTACATGCATCAATACATACATTTCTATAGGATGAGGTGAGTTAATGTTTTAACAAAACTGAATGGAAGAAATTATAGCTGACATTTTACATCAGCAACTGTTTTCACACCACTTCACTGCAATCACAATGGTTGCAGATTCRTACATTTGGATGCAACCAAAAAAATACCCAAAACAAACCAAAAAAAAACCCCAAACCAAGCAGAAGGCAGCTGCTGATGCTCTGCAAATAGAAGCACAATGAAGACACAAGCCTAGGAGAGGATTATGTGAAGGTCAATGGCCCGAGTGCAATGCCTGCATTTCATGCTGTGTGCGAGATGAAGCAATGTCTTGGCTTAAAAATGAAATAAAACAGTAGGGAAAAAACTCCAGCAACCTGCAGAGGTCTCGGGCACAGTTTCAGTGTCATTYTCATTTCCTGTATATTCTGTAGAAAAGCAAGACAAAGAATAGGACAATAGGGAAAGGACCAAGTAGTTACAATTTGGCAAACTCTCTAATCACAGAAAATAAACAAAGCAGCACGTTCCCCAAAGTTTGCTCATATGGGACCCAGCTTCCCAAGGATTAGGAATTCTTGGAAACACTTGGAAGAGCTGCAGTGCAGGGAGAAGCCTCACTGTGCTGTTACAAGAACTAAAGCCATGGCACCACAACCCAGAGAGCCCCACACACAACCACCAGTAACACCAGTAAGAACTGCACAACACCCAAACCAGGAGAGCAAATCACACAAACCACCTTTGGTAAGATGACACAGGTCTATCTACTGGCTCCATTKGAGGGGAAATTAAGATGAGATCCARACTAWTACAGCAAATCACCAAAAGGTATTGAAAGCTGATCAAAAGAAATTATTACCAACACAGATTTTTAATCAAYAATAGCATCACGTGTATTAAGCACTCAATTTATCAGATGGAAGCACCAAAAATTAAATCTGGCTTTTAAATTTTTTAAAGAAATGTTAAAAGGACAACGTATTTCTCCCCTTGGAGGTGAGCTGTATGTGTAACTTAGAGCAGCCTGAACAGAGCAGGCAATAGAGCAGATGTCTGTTTTTATAAGAAGAAATGCTAAAATACCAAAGAGACAGCACCACTGTGCTGCCCTGCAGAGCTGTCTGCTCCACAGGCTTCCATTGATGACAACACTTTTCCTACAATATGCTTTTCAACCTACTTGAAATGAAGTGTTCTGCTTAGTAATCTGAAGTACATGAGGTATTGTTAGAASYAYTATTAAAAATAARCTATCAGTATTCCCATGGTCACCACAAAAATCAGGTTGGTGGAATCCAGGCTGGTGAGCAGCTCTGTACTTCACACACACCTGGGGCCAATGAGAAAACAAACACTCGTGGAAAAAATGACTCAAAGAGGAAATACGTGACACCAGCTTGGAGCAAAAATAACCTGCAAGAGGCAAAACAAGCTGTATTTTATGCACTCAGATCTGCTGTGTGTTCCTCGATAACCACAAAGATTTCATTTAAAGCAGCTAATCAGAAATCTGAACAATTGTAAATAGTTACCTTGCCAACATGCTCCAACCACCAGCTGGGTTTCTATCTTGGAGGGGTGCAGGGGATAATCCTCAGTGACAGGGAAAGGATCATAGGAAACCCCATCCACATAGAGAGTCACTGCAGGAAACTCCACATTGACAACGTAGTGGTGCCACTCTTTGTCACACACCTGAGKGAAGGGAGGTTGAACAATTCCACTGTCATTTTTTTTTTCCATTATGGTTGAATAACTGATCTGGTGCATGTTTTACATAAACATCCAGACAGATGTACCAGCAACCTACACCACAAGCTTGTACAGACACAGCTGATCTTTCACACACATGGCACACATCTGAAAWGCAAACTGACTGCCAAACATTAATTAAAAGTTGCTTTACTCTGTTGCCAAAACAGGAAGCTGCACATACTTCCGTTCCCTTAATTTTTATAGTAAAAACCAGCATGTTTCAATCTAAAAATACATATCTACATGCAAGCAAATCCTGAAATACAGCTACAAGACAACAATACTTGACAAAGGACAGGTATATGCTGTTAAAGAAACCATGAGTGTTTATCACTCAGATCCAGAGGGCATGCTCAGAAGTCCTTGGATACCATAAAACAACCTGCAATAAAYACCTCCTGTTTCCTGATGCACTCCACCCCAAAAGGCATTTAGTGAAGATAACTGACATCACAGCTGTAAGACTGACACTGTRTTTTCTATTTTATATTCAAGATGAAAAGGTGAAGCTGAATCTTGATCACAAGTAAAAGCAGCACTGTTGGACTCTATCAAACCGGCCAGCAGGAGTTTGGAGCTGCAGAAAGTATTGAAGTGCACTGCCAAGGGCATCATTCCTCAGTCCCTTTGAGTCCAGCCCTGACCCAGCTGCCCTTCCAGCCTCACCTGGTTGAGTTTCCAGTGGAATTCTGCAGGTTTGTAGGTTTTTCCCTCGGAAGGATCCTGGCGGAAGAGGAACACCAGGCGGCAGTTGTGCACGTAGAGGGTGTAGTGGTGCCGGTTCATATCTGCGCAGCAGTTTGAATAACAGAATTATAATTGAATTATTTTCTGCAAACCTTACGAACAAAATCCACCTGTTCTGCAATTTCACACATTAAATGTTAAATAATTGATAGGCAGTAATCAATGCAGAAGTAAATCAGGCACAGTWAGAGGATTGTAAAACATCTGCAGTAGTAGTGAGGGCAACCACCCTCAAAGAACCCCCAAGAAACAGGGGAAGAACAGACAAATCTCTAYCCAAACCCAATCTAAACCAAGGCACAGCACTGAAGAGCCAGACACAAACCTGTCAGCAGGAGAAAAAGAGAGCTATTTGCAAATAGAAGAGCTTTTTTGTTACAAACAGCAATTATGGAAACAGGGTTATCACATTTCCTTCTTATTAACAGCATTTTCAAAACTATTGTTCCTGTGTCATAAGCAGAGAGTGAAATTATGCACAGAGTGAAAAAACCTTAATCTCTGGAGAAATTAGATCCTCCTAGGGAAAAAAAGATACAGCAGCAAATGCTGTCCCTAGACCTGGTATGTGTGTTTGTAATGGTTTTAGGCAGCATCAAGAACAAGGCTATCTTTGGAGATGCAAACTTGARATGCATTGCCAGAATAAGTCATCCACCTCAGCAAAAGAAGTGCATAATGTAACCTGAAATAGAATTTTTTTTAAAAAAAGCCTGCCCAATCTGAAGCTGCGTAATCTAAGGCTAAGCCTATACACAAGCACAATAAACAGTGATTTTTAAAGTCAGGATTTTCTTAGAATTGAAGTTAAGGTAGAGAAAACACTGAAGGTTGTCACATGCGCTGCCAGAGTACATAAAAACCCGACCAACCCAAAAGACTGTTTATAACTGAAGTATTGACAAACCTGTCTTGTCTGAATTGCASAGAATTGTCTCCTTCTCCTTGGTTCCAGGCCCGTGCCTCATCCACACTGAAATCATGAAGGGCTCTTTCAGGTTGACGGTGACAACCCCATCGGGGACTCTGACAGCCTGGGTGCCGTTGAACTCGAAGACCTGGTCGCTGTCGTGCCCGTTGTCCGTGGGGAGCCCCAGGGTCCAGTTTGCAGCACTGCTGGGAGGGGGCAGCAGCTCGGCTGTGCCAGAGGCAGCACCTGCAACACAAATGCTCAGCTGAAAACACACATCTAAAAACCCACTGCTGGTTTGAAATTCAACTGCTTATCTCAGCACCAACTGGCAGGATTATGCACTTCTCCTTTTAAATAAAGTGGCACTAATTACAGGCATCTGATACCATGATGACTTTCACAAATTYGACTCCTAGGTAGACAACAAAGCTCATAATAAACAAAACTGTCAATCTCCAGAGCTGTACAACCTTGCTMTGCCCTGTCTCAGGGACCYTTTCATGAATGCCACRTGTCCCTCATGAAGGCAATGCCTTYCTCTCAACACTGTGCTCAGCTGTGAGAATTCAYCCAGCTGAACAGAGTGCACAAACATCCCCTCCCAGCTCACACCAGTCACAATCAGGTACTTTTAACATCACACTGACCTCAATCAAGGAATAGCTCAGGAATTGCCTGGGTCTCTGGGGTTACATKCTATTCTGACTTTCAATTACTTTTAACTGAGGTTCAAGACATAAATCATGAGTGGTAATTTGTCCTTTAATCTCAGTTCTTCCATATTGGCTACAAAGGATTCACAGACCTTTTGTAAGACCTTCAACTGCAGCGTAAGTGGATGCCAAGGGCCTTTATTCTTAGGGCAAGCACAATATGAATTTATCTAATCCTTAAGTCTTTTTTTCCAAACCACTCTTTCTTCATTTTCTCTAGTTTTTCACCAGGTATTTCTCAGATTGCAGCCATCACATCCATCATACTCAGAAAAACAGAGGCTTCAATGGCTATACCCTTCCACAGATATTCTTTCAGCTCTTGAACATGAATCTTGTGCAAGGGACATTATTAGTCTTCATAAGCCAGCAGAGGCAGAACAAAGAGACACTTTAGCATATTTGAGAATTATTGTAGAAGTCACCTTCAGGCAACTTCATGCCTTTTACTGCCTGTTACAAAATGAGCTGAAGGAAACTACGTGCAAATGAAGACTGAATCTACTCACTGATTTCTGGTCTGACATAAAATCAAAGTAAGCAAGAGAGAAACCCACTTACCACAGAGCCTGTGGATGGATTTCTCRGAGTAGGTGTCTCTGTCACAGCCTTTACCAATGTGGTTGGTTTCCAGTTCCACTGTTGCTTCAACTGAGGTTATTGGCTCATCACACGTCTCCAAATGCATCCCAGGGAACAGAGCCAAGGAACCAGTGCCAGGCTCATATTCTATTCTTTTGCTCCAACCTGAACATTTATCCAAAGAAACAATATTAAAGAACTCTCATGTTAAACTGAAAGTACCAGTAAATGCTAAAAGCAGAGAGGAAGGAGAGCAAACTAACCTTGCCAGCCAGGCTTGCACGTAGGCTTAATGCTAATTTTAACCAACACATCCTCAGCAGCTCTCTTCTTCCCACAGTCATAGGCTGTTACTGTCAGTTTATACTGATGTTCTTTCCCATAGCTTAACTTTTCTGTGTTTTTTATATAACCTGCCACAAAAAAAAACCAAAAAAAAAAAGCAATGATCAGACATCAGTGTAATTCCTCAGGGTCATTCTGTGCTGCCCAGTGTGACTCAGTTCTGTGGGTGACCAGTGAGAGTCATTCCCACCCCASCCCATCCATCTCTTACCGTCCTTGTCAATGGCAAAGGGAACATCAGGAGTGACGATCTCGTAGCTGCAGATCTGGCTGAACTGGGGGGAGCAGTCTGCATCCACAGCTTCCACCTTGAGGATGTTGTCGTAGCGCTTGCCCTCGATCACCGTGGCCTTGTAGGACTTCTCCTTGAACACCGGGGCGTACTCGTTGACATCGTTCACCTGGATGTGAACTGTGGCCCTGCAATGACACACAAAGGGCTCCAGAGACTGCAAACCTTGCTCCTGTCACACTGGGATCCAGCAGCTYCCTCTCTGTCACCACAGCAGTGTCAATCTGTGCCCCTGACAGCTCTGAACCTGCACTGTTCCAGGGCAATGTACTCCAAAAGCCTTCCCTCCAATGTACCCCAAATGCCTTCCCTCCAATGTGCCCCAAATGCCTTCCCTCCAATGCACCCCAAATGCCTTCCCTCCAATGTACCCCAAAAGCCTTCCCTCCAATGTACCCCAAAAGCCTTCCCTCCAATGTACCCCAAAAGCCTTCCCTCCAATGTACTCCAAATGCCTTCCCTCCAATGTACCCCAAATGCCTTCCCTCCAACCAACCTCCATCCAAACTTCCAATATTGGATCATACACCTTGAAATGAAGGCAAATGGCATCTACACTATGCACAGGTAGAAAAATACAGGGAAATTCTACTGTGTGGAAAAGGGAGTGAACAAAATATATTCCACACAATCAAATGAAACATTTGTTGCCATCCTGCTCTTTGAAAACTTTCTTCAAAAGTCACACTGAGCATCAGAGTTTAAAGCCATATCTATTTTTGGTAAGTGCAATCCTTAAGGCAGTAAGATTCTGCTCTCTAGCTGAACATTCAGTTACAGAGTAGCAAGGTTTTCCTTGTCACCAAGCTGACCTTGGCTACTCCATTCCTCATCCTATTTACGCCCCTTTYTGCCTCACAAACTGCTCATCTCCACATGCTCTGCAGATGTTTACACCAGAGTGTCAAACAGTTACTGTCAAGTGGGTTTTCTAGAGACTATTTGATATTGTGGTTTTTCCTTAGATGGAGATAAGACTGCTTTGTTCCCATTCTTTAATGTAGGCAGAGATGAGCCTCATGTTATTGATCTCTGGCTCTTTGGTGAGGCTGTCTGGAAATGATAGAAACGTGTATGCTTTGCCATTTTGTTAAGCTAAATATAGACTGACWTCTCAAACCAGTTTTTTGGATTTAGAAACTGAATTCCCAAATAATGTCAAGGCTTGGTATCCATCCCATGCAAACATTACCAACTGAAGACAGATTTTAAGTGTATCAACAGTTTTCCTGCTTCTATCCACATGTTGTTTTCTAATGTAGATTCAGAGACATCAAGGGATAAAGCAGTACCACCTAAAATACAAATGATGTGATGYCCAAGCAGCTCATGGCCATTTGGCTGCTCTTTTTATAACCATTATTATMATATGGTTATAATGGAGCAGGGAGGTTGGAGCAGATGATCCACTGTGGTCCCTTCCATCCTGATCCTTTCTGTGGTTACATGAAAAGCCTTCCAGTACTAACCCTTGGTTCAACTTCCTCTCAATACACACCCCATAAATCACCACGAGCAGGAGACCCCTGGAAGCCAAACTTCCCCTCAGCCACCCCAGCCTGACTTACTTGTGGGATTTTTTTGCATTTGCTCCATCTGGTCCCTTCCCACAGTCRTAGGCCTGGATGGTGAACGTGTAGTCTTTCTGCAGCTCACAGTCCAGCTTTTCCTTAGAGCGTATTATTCCCTCACCAGTGGATTTATCCACCACCACTGCTTCAAAGGGAACATTCTGCCCGTGAATTTTAAATCCACAAATCTCACCTACAGAGTTAAAGTAAGACAGGTTAGAACCGGTCAACATGACGAGACATTTTTAAAATAAACGACCACATATTTTGCAGCCAAGGGTTTGTGAGGGTCTGTGGACAAAGCAAGAGCATTGTGCTTTAAAATGGGTGAATTCTGGGAACTTTAGTAAAAAGAAGCAAACGTCTGCCTCCCAAGCAACTTGTTTACTTTGCATCCATTCATGCAGGAGTACAAAAGAGAAAGAGAAATGTAGACAGGCATTTCACAGGAGTACTTGAGATAGCTCTAGGGCAAGAGTAGATCTCATGTGAGCATACAGCCAAGGCCACTGGTAATCTCTTCTATGCCAAGCTASTGGCAAGAGCTGAGCAGCTGTTTACTGTGACCACAGCACGAGGTTAAAATGCACAGTTACGAGTCCATGGATGAAAAAGCTTCGAGTTCAGCACCATAATTACAGAAATTCTGTCAAAAGATCAAAGGACAAAGTCTTCCTGTGCAATGTACCTGGCTAAAATCAGGGAATCAAAAGAAACTACTGAATGAGAAAGGTAGAAATACCAACTTCTCAGGCATCCATTTCAACAGCTGTCTACTAACACGGGCCCAGTGTTAGTCAATGCAGCTCTCAGGGAATGATTTTAGAAGGTTTTCCTTCTATTCAAACTCTTCACCCTACAAACTTGGAAGAGAATCCCCAGCACATGTTTTTTAAGCACATCTAAGCCCAAGCCTGCACTCCCAGACTCAGGCTGGCACAGCTGGGTAAGGCCAGCACACAACAAAAGCCACTCAATGAACGGTCTGAGCGCCTGCACTGTGTCTTTACCTCTGAACTTCTTATTTGGGAGGGGATTTTCTYACACCAACAAACCCCTCTGTTTTGCTGTTATAGCTGCAGTGGTTTTTTAGTACCAACAACACACTCCTAATGAAAACATGTGTAGAGATGTTCAAAAAAGGGAGGTTGATTCACATTTTAAACCACTGAAAGGTGTGAACTGCAGGGAAGGTGTTGTAATGCTTCAGCACTTCAACATTACTTCACAAAGCATATGGARAACTTCTGCTGCCCCACAGAAGTGATCTACAAGTGAAAAGATCAGAAAATACTAATTTTCCCCAATAAACTTCTTCAGTGTCCACACAAKGCACAATAACCCCAAAAGGTTCAAATGGATGTCTGATWTACAGATATTTCTAACCAAGGGTTTGGTTACATAACAGTTTTTATCAATATATTGTAAAATAGAAAAAAACTGGGAGAATAAATGGGACAAAAGAGCATGACAGGATCTTCTGTTTCAGTGCTGATTCCCCATTTCATAACCAAAGTTAGTAGGTTAATATTCATAAAAGGGATAGAAGAGAACCCTTTATCACCTTCTTTGGTGACTGTCACCTCAAAACTCTCTAAAGGGAAAAAAGACAAACCCAAGTCAGTAACAGGAAAGGTTGAATGGGAGCAAATAAGGAAAAGGCAAAGATGCACACATTACACAGAAAAGCTTTGGAAAAATTGAATTTTAAAATTCCAGTAGTGATTTGCTGCAACTGTTACAATTTTAGAGTTTTAGTTATGTTAWATATGATTTAATCTTTTAACTCCAGGTTTTAATTTGCAGAATTTTGAAATATTTGGTAAGATCATCAAGGCTTTTTTCATCTTCCCTTTTCTTTCTTTTTTTAAATAATACCATCCTTTTCTTTCCTCCCCTGGAAATCATCATTWGTTCAACACCCAAACTATCACCTTTTGCCTATCATCCAACATGCCCATTATTTTTTTTCTGATTATCATCATGTTTAACCTGAATTCCTGTACCTTTAAAATCACTTCTAGTAAATCTCCTGTTATTTCTCATACATTTCCAATAACTTGCAGTAACATTCAAGTCTCCATTCCAGAGTGGCCTCAGAAAGAGATGAGGCATTACAGGTATAGAGGAATATTTTTCTTAAAAAGGCAAAATTACAGTTTAATAATGAAGTGGAAATGTAAGCACAGAAAGTAACCTTATTGTGATTTCTAGTCTTTCATTTTAAAAGGAACCAGTTTCTGAAATAGCTCTTAAATTCTCCCTGAAACTCMCTTCTGGTAATCCCTGGATTTGAAATCAGCTCTTTATTTTAAAGCAGACCAAGTATTCTGCCTCTTGTGGAACCCACATGATTTATTTCAGTCTATTCYTACACAGGGTAAAAATGTAATCCCAGATTTTAATGTGTTTTGGCAATAGAATCRTTGAAGACAATTTTACACTGTTTAAATTCATGGCTGACACCACTGATTAGCCAGAAGTGACATTCCAACTGCAAGCTTTCAAATATTCCACATCTTCACTGCTGCACACCCACCTCCCTGTTCCCTTCCAGTAACTCTGAGAGCCAAGCACTGCATGTGAAATACTGAGATCACAGGAAAAATAAACCTGGGAATGGGAAAGTAGAAAGCCTGGTAATGGAGAGAAGTGGATTAATGGGCAATTACCTATTTGAGAGAGGGGAGGTTGTTTAAAAACTGGACAGATCTTTATCATCTGCAGTGACCTGGAACTCTTTTGTTCCTGAGCATAAAACATTCCCAAGCTGTCCAGCAAACACCCGAGTGCCTCCAGGTGCAGTTAAGGTGTGGAGCTCCATTTCCAGGTGTRTTATTGTTTAACCTCTGCAGATGTTTCTCAGAACAGTGCCTGCTTAAGGACTGGGGCTGAGAAGGSGTTTTCTCCTTCTCAAGGGGTACACACACATCAAAAAAACCAAGGGAAATGTTTCAAACATCTGGCCATGAGACCCTCTATAGCACTCTCACAACAAACACGTTCAGCTGTGTGAAGGCATCCAGAYATAATACTGCCTGTTTCAAATGCAATAAAAACTCAGCTCCTTTATGCATAGTAAAGGGAAAATCCCTACTGAGAGCTTCATCCATCAAATTGACTTTAGACACAAACTACTCCAATGTACAAATAAAAAAMCGTAACTATCCTTTATTTTTTTCCAGCAAAACTACTTAGGATCAAATTCCAACATGATTCAATTGGTAATGTAGAGAAGATTCACTGAGGAGCACAAATGGTCATTGTCTTCTCAAGCAGATCTGTAACAGTCATGGTGCAAAAGCCTGACTCCATCCTGTCCCTACAAGGCAGGCTGCCATGACTGCATTCACACCCTGTTTCCAAAAGTGTGTCATTCCAGATTTAAAACCACACAAATAACCCTGAAAACCAACGYCTGTATAACCCTACTTATTTTTGCACACCTGAATTTTAGGATCCTACCCACAGCAGAGTGAGCAGAGCAATAAAAAGGTTATTTTTACTGGCCCCACTCTTCATGTCCTACACAGCACCTTAATCAACTAGTTTCGAGATGTTTCAACACGCTTAAAATTGAAATAAAGCAAAAAAGCCCTACTTAAAATATTTTAAACCTGCAGACAGTTCAGAAGTTTCACAGCTCAGCCAGAGGGCACAATTAATTAAAACATCCAGCCTTTTGAAGCATGAATAAATTTGATTTATAAGTAGGAATATACCAGTAAGGGCTGAGGCAGCCATTTAATTTAGCAGTGCTTTGTTTTGCTGTGGGTTTGTCACACTGAAAGGCCAGAGATGGCACTGGGCACTGTCTGTGCCAGGCTGTCACAGCACCCCAGAGAGCTGCAAACATCAGCACCTCACCCACACTGGGCTCCTCAAGGACAGGCTCAAGAATTGCTCCATTTAATAGCACCACTTCCAGAAAATTGGGACCAAACTGCCCTAAGACTGCAGCACTCAATGCAGTTGGCCACTGAACATTTCAAATGGCCCCTRATTTTTAATCACTCTCCTATCCCCTTCTCCCTGAAGCCAGGCTAAGCAATGCTCCCAAAAGTGGTTCACATCACATCCTTTAGGTACTTCACCAGGATTCTTAACTCTCAAATTCTGCTTAAAGTAAGCTTCTGCAAATATGCAATTTAAGCTTGTGTTATCCACTATGCTAACTTAAATATATATAAGTATAATTTAAATACCTGCAGATGCCCAACAGTAWTCTTCAAATACATCTTTCCATAATAATGCATCCAATTAATGCATACAGTATTCTTAAACAGAAGTTTTCAGAAAAAAAATCTACTCCATAAGTTCATAACAAAACTCTCAGTCCTATGTTCAAAGTGAAAAATTAGCCCACAATTTGTAAATACTTTGTGCACCATTCTCTATATTCTTTGCTAGAGGAGAAAAAGTTTTTTCTTCAGCCAGAGGAAGTCGTTCAGTTTTTAAAATACCCCAGACTGTTAAGCAAACTTATCACAGACATGCAATCTTAATTCTACTAACTAGTATTTTCACTCTATTAAGACACAAATTAAAAAAAGCTAAGAAAACCAAAAACTCTCTTCAGAATGGTAACAAAACCATTGTTTCAGAAATCCCACGCCGAATACTCTGAAATGTGGACTCTAAGAGGATTGAGGAAAAGGTTAGACACTATGAAAACAGAACAAAAATAAAACACCAGAAAAATTACCATGTACACATGAAATTGAAAGAAGCAAAGCACTTTCTGGTTTGGATACCTGGATACAGCTGCAAATCTGAAATAAAATGCTGGTCCATGCACACACATGTCCTAGGATCTAAAAGCTTTGAAATGTTATGCTGCTGTTAAGGAAAACACACCAACACAGAGCATTTTTCCCCAAAGAAAGCATTTCCACATCTTCMAACAGGAATGCAGATGAATTCTTTACCTGCAAAACGCAGAGGTGCATCTTTGTCCAGGGCTATYAACGGGGGGTCCAAGAGCACCGTGTTGTCATTTTCTGTAACGATGCCATGATARGTTGTTTCAATCCATGGCTTATGTTTGTTAACTGCAAGGAAAACAAAGTACAAGTCAAAACATTTGGAACTTACAGTATCTTTAAAAAACGCTTCTTAACTTCAATATTTTCCTCTTTATAATTCTGAATCAAGGTTTTAATAAACTAAAAGATTGGAGACAAAATCCTGGCTAAATATGTTCAGAAGAGTTGAGTGTCCCTGTAGGCTTTCCAAAAGTAACTCAGAGCATTTAAATTASTTTCTAACTATGCTGGGATTTAAGATGCCCCTGAAGTGCAATTCAAAAACCTTCTAACAGTGATGGGGAGCTGATGCCATCAGTGCCAAGTGTGACACCAGCAAATCCTACAGAGCAGGAAAATCCAGGCAACAYGATGTTTACACTCTACTTCCATCAACATGGAAAACCTGGGATACAGCTGATGGACCATTCCTCAGAACATCAACAACTTAAAACTTATGAAATGCATGCCTGCACAATCACAGCAGAATATAYACTACAGTTAGAACACTACCACACAGCTGAGTCCTGCTATTTCACATCTAAAGAATTATATAAGCAGATTGTCAAAACAGAGACCAAAGGCTAACCCAGACTTGAATTCTGCCTCTTCAACAAACTAAAATGGATTTATGTCATGTGCCATATGCTTACCCAGGGGAGTTAAACAGTGATAAAAGGACACTTCTATAAACAATTAAACCTAGAGAACTCATACAGGAAACCATAATACTCCCAATATGCTTTCATCTGCAATCTTTTACTGGTTAGTAGCAACAGTAGACAGGATATACCATCTTCATCCATAACAATGCAGCAAGAGAGAACTCACAACGAACTGTTTTAATGCAAACAGTGTTTAATTATTGCCATGTGGCTTTACTTAATATGGCAACATCTCTTTACTGCCTCAGTCTGCTCACAGGGGCACACTCTCAATACACAGAACACCAAAGAACCAGTTAAATGCCAAGCACATTGTTCTATTTACCCAGAGAAGTTGGCTGCTGCAGCACCCTCCCAGGAACGTGGCATTTYAGAATAAACCTGGTCATGCTCAAAGGCACTAAAACAGATTCCTCCCTCCSAGGGAAGGTGCCAGGAATTGCTAAAGTGTGAAAGCTCTCTCACAATTCAAACCTGGTCTCATGAAAACAGTCTCACCAACACAGTGGAGCACAAGGAGGTCACAGTTGTACATTGTTCTGTCACTACATCCGAGGCATTTACACCCCAGTTGAAAATTTCAGTACTCTGTTCATCCCAGTCCTTGCAAAGGTGTGGTATAAAATACCAGAACAGATCTCTGCCACGAAAAAAACCCTCTATCTCCATTCTAATGCTTCTCAATGTGGATTACAAAAATACCTTTTTTTTTTTTTAAGTTCTGAGAAACCTTCTCCTAATTTAGCAACCTCCCAAATCCCACTACTGCTGGGTAGGGAGTTCTATAAAACCTTGAAGTACTGTAACCACATATGAACAGAATTATGAGTATGCTGAGCATCTGCAGAGTCTASTGAACCTTCAAACAACAGGCCCAGTTGAAAGCAAAGTCATGTCCTTTTATTGTGCTGCAGACAATAAAATCATAAAGCTTAAACCCCTTTGTGTTTTGGAAGGCTAAAGCACCACCAGATTTTAAAACATAAAGCTTAAATCCCTTTGTGTGTTTGAAGGCTAAACATCACTGGATTTTAGAACACCAAACTTAGTGCTGAATATCCAGGAAAGGCCCATTATCCGTATTTGTGATCTMCTGACTCCAGCATAACCACCCACTGGAAGGAATTCTCACGCYAGCATTTGAAATACGAGGTACAGCTTGCAAGCAATACATCACTGCAAAATCAGACTCAACCAAATATTATTCTGATCTCAGCTGCTTAAATAGCATTAAATGTTGGACTGAAAAGAGGGMCAAACAAGAGGAGGGGTAGTTTAAATGTCACAAAACCACCACAATCTACAGAAGTTGTTCAAAGCCGGACTGGTAATTTCAAACCAGAAGAGCAGCCTATTCCAAGGCTGACACTAACCAAGTGCCCGGAGCTGTTAATCTCTTGCMATTTAACTGGGATAAACTACACTCGTTTCCTTGAAATACAATATTCACACTATTGGTAAGCGCCTCAGCTGGAATCTGCTGTAAATCCCAACGAGCATTTAATCTAGTCAAGTGGGGGGAGCTGTCCTGGCACAGGCAGCCGCTGACTTCGGCCTGGCTTTTAGTGGGCAWGAAGAAATTCCAATTCCAGCTAAGCACAGCATTTGTGAGGTGCCACCCGAGTGGAGAAGCTTCTGCCAGAGCTCCCCTCTGCCCAGCCTGGCAGAACAACCCCACAAAGGTGAGCACTGAACTGCCAGCTCTGTTCACCTGCTACAGGAGGAGGAACTGCACGTGTGCCTCCAACACTGGTTTGAAAATACCATCTGCTCCAGGTAAATGTGCCTGCTGAACCAGAACAGAGCAGCCTGGTGTTCTGCAGCCCAGGGAATGCTCCTCAGAGCAAGGATGATTCCTTCCCAAGAGCGATGGCTGATGCTGCACAACACAACCCATCAGATCACCTTTTTCTGCTGTCTGAAAGAATTCATGAACACCAACGAATAGGTAGGCTGGGGCTAGTRTGGCAGCTTTAATCAAAAGCTGTTAATACAATCAGAAATAATMCAGTTCTGTAATTTGAAAGCAAACATTAAAATTAAATGTGCTTATCAAAATTCTTTCTGGAGGACTTCTGTTACCTTCTTACAAATGGTCAGAAGTTCATTTGACTTAAATGGGATCTGGCACCTACACAACCAAAGATTTAAACACACCTCAACCAGAAAGGACTGCAGCTGAAAATACTTTTTCTTCTAGATAATTACTTCTAATACACAGTGCTGTTTAGCTATGCTGCATAAAATTATTCATGTCAAAATAAATTCTTAAGAATTAACTGGCTAAACACATTAAACTCAATAATAAGTACTAGAGTTTGAAAGCTATTTGYTCAATCTAGAGGCAGTAAACACAAAATACTTGTTCTGAAAATGTAMCTTTGAGACCTCATGAAAAATCCAGAGAAAAAGTCACAGAAAGAGAATTATACTCTGTGTCAATACAGATGAACTGCACTCCATGAACTAATAGAGTCCTTTACTTCTGTCCTGAAGGTCAAAGACTGATTACTGCACATCTTTTGCTTAATTGTCTTCCTCTTGATGCAAGAGCATCACAAAGATGCCTGTCAGTGAGACAATAAAAACTCCAATGCATCTTACCTTGAATATTCATAACTTAGTAGCRTTCTGATGAAATTTCAAGCAATATCATTAAAAGAACAAGTCTGTGTAGTACCTAACCACAGAAAAATACAGAGCTACACAATAAAACAGGCCTTCTCCACCCTGAAAGTAAAGTTGAATAAGAAAGGCACGGCCTGATTACAATGTGTGYTCTCTGTCCTGCCCAGCCACTCACTACTCCTGCCTCCATTCTCCACAGGAAAGGCTGAGGATTAACTCTGGCTACAAACAACTCCAAATAAACTAGTAGCAATGAAAAGATGGATTTGTTTATTTAACTGGCTCTTCTCACAGCTCGAATTTTATCAAAAGTCATCATCCTACAACCAGGTACAAACAATGAGATAAAACGGAACCTAAGTTCTGCTCAAATGCTGACTTTGATAGCGTGGAGTTTATCCACAGTTTGAGGCTCCAASACAAACTACCACTTCCACTGCTGGGAAATGAAGACAGTGACAATATGGGGGAGTGAACCCACTTGGGACATTTGGGAAGTGCCCAGGACAGGGATCAGCTAAGAGCATCCACCAGACAGCCACCAGCACGAACCTCCAGAGTTCCTGGCTGAAGGGAAATCCGGGGGTTGAAATTAATCCCACAATTTCASATCTCCATCTGGGATTCTTTGCCACAGTTAAGGAGCACTTGCAACTTCTGCTCTGGAAGCTCAACTGCCATACACTGGAGCACAAGATAATATTTATGTACTATCAGGTGCCCACACTATGAGCCTGTACAATTAATGAACAATGCCACATTCAAACCAATAGCTGCAAGGGATTCAATGGGTTTTATTAAATTMTATTTTGCCTAGAGAAAAAGCTCTTGTTTATCAACGCATACAGAAAGTTTCCTATTCTCCACTGAACCAGTTGCGTAAATTTAAATTTAATTTGTACAAGGATACATGGAAGTTTTGCTATAAGCCTGATGAAACTAAGGGACATTCAAATGACTGATTACAAACTATGTGGAATTTTTATTATCCACAACTACGACAGAAAAAACATTCAGAGTACCAAAGACCTTAGACAGAGGATGCACAGACCAAATTTGAATTTGGATAAAAGCCTGGCAGGGAAAACAAAGATTCCACCACAAAACAGTTTAAATAGGATTAAGACAACAAAGCCTTAATTTTTCAAGTGAAATTTAGAAGGTTTTACACTAAACAGAAGACTTAAATAGAAAACATAAGCCTTTAACTACAAACATAAAATTAATAAATGTTATCTTAAATGTTGCTAATTATAGTGCGAGTTGAAACCCTTTCCCTTTTAACTGTTGTCATATTTATAAATGTTGCTCTTTGAAAGGAAATAGTATTCAGAAATACATCAAACATCACCCCAGAATAGCTGGCACTTCTGGCTCTACTTGTTGGCTCCATTTAAAAACAGGGAAACCCACTGGGAGCAGTAGCTGCAACTTGTTTTCAGTCGGATACAAAGCAAGTGAGATGAGACCTAACACTAGAAACAAAGAACAGACAGACAGTTCTTGAAAGGCGCTGAGGTTCCCAATAATCCTTTCTAAAGGCTCCTAAGGAGGTTTAGTCCCTACTGAAGCCAATGTGAGTCAATCAGTGCAAAACAAATAAATTAGAGTGCAAAACAAGATTTATTTAAGACCAAGGCTTCCGCCTCCCTRAACTCTCATGTTTCAAGGTACCGCTCCTGTCTTTGATAATGCTACAAGATGTGAGGCCCATAAAATCATAAACCACATTTTGGAGAGACCTCTCCCAATAGAACTGAAGAGAATGTGATACAGCTCAGAAAAATGGTAAAAGTGCTTTTGTTCAGAAAACTTTAATGACTACAGAAGTTTTCTCCTCTCTGCAGAACAATTTCAGTGCCATAAGCCACTGAGCTATCCCATACTTGGGCTTCATGGCAGGAAATGCTTCTTTACCCAAAACACCAGAATTCTAAGTTATGGGATGTTCACATTACACAGAGGTGWGGCTTGACCTGGGTTTAACTTCAACCCTTCTAACTTCCATGAGAAATTGAAGACCATGAGCCCAGCTTCYTTCCTTCTCCTTACAAAAATCTTTGCAATTATCTGCAACCAGTGATTTTTTTGTCTGCAGAAACACTAAGACCTCAAGCCAAAGGTAAGTTTATTAAGTCTAGAGAAGTTTCTCTTGACAAATATTCCTGCTAACTYGGCACAGACAGCCTAGTAACGTGGGAGAAGACAACCAGCACAAGAGTGTTCCAAACACAAAGTAAACCATGCTTGCCCAGACCATCTCTCCTCCGTTTCAATTCCACAGCAATGCATTATTTTAAATAACACGTATAGGAAAAGAGATTAAAATGGTTTGTATGAACAAAGTGCTGTATATAATGCTTTCCAAGCACTATATATCACAGAGAAGTCTAGCACTGGTTAATTCTATCTCCTCTCAGTGGTCTCTTACTTGCTTAAACACTTGGGAGAAAATAAAAACAAAACAGGATGCATAAATGGCCAAATTGTCTCCACATAATGCTTTAGGGTAGTGTTACATTTCCTTGCCTCTAGAAAGGAGAAAGAGACCTACCTAATCCCCAGGCCTGTATTATAAAGGCTGTTCCTGTGTCAAAGAAACATCTGCAGCAAGGCTGTGGTAGCAACAAAGTGGTTTGTGGTTTGGATTTAAAACATTCACAGCACCACGTAACTTCCTGAAATAATCACAGATCAGCAAAGCTTCCTCAAGATACTATTACTTTCATCAATACCCTTCCTAAATGGTAGCAMATTGGAAGGGCCCCAAGACAACAGAGGTCTATCACTCTAGCTGCTCAGGATGCTCAGGACCCATGGAAGCAGCAGCCATGCAGTGCCTCCTCCTCTGGAACTSCTCCATTCCACTCACCATCCACCTCTGCTCAGAAACATCCACTGCTTCACTGACAAACACGGTCTGAATGCACTGCTAGGTACTGCTTTTTCTCTGCAACAAGTCTACAAATATTTGGGTCAACTTGATCAATTAGAAAATAAATTCAATTAGATTAAGRGTTTTGCACCAGCTGGACAGGAAARCACCTCTTCAGAACACAAAACCACWCTTTGCACCTCTTAAAATAACTACAGGTTAGATGGTAGGTCAGCTAACTCACACCTGCCTTTCGTGCACRATTGCATCCTCCAAATGCTATTTCCCTTTTTTTCCATCATCAAAAAAGAAACCACTTTTCACTCCCTTGTTCCAGCCCCAAGAATGGAAGGACTGGCACGTGGAACTCACCATTCCGGTGCGGCCTTTCCAGCACAGTTTTGCACATTATTGAACCAAGCACAATTCCATTTTCACCATTTACAACAAATCTCAGTGACCTCGGTCATAAGGACTTTTTAAGTCACAGATTAAAAAGATGAAGMKGTACTTGRAAAAAAAAATGGAACTGGCAATGCWGAACAAAACCGAAAGCTTAAATGCTTCCAAACAAATGCCTTTCCTAACAACAGGGAAATGAAAACGAGTYGCCCTTGCAGCTTTCCAGGTGTTCTCCAGGGCTTACTTGTCACTAAATGCATAAGGTAACATTATTAACAGGCCCACCTACAGCAGCCAAAACGTCATAAGGACTAAGGCAGCTGCACGCACTAAGCCGAACCAGACTAATCTGTAACTCAGTTATGTGTGATGAAGTTTAACAGATCAGGACCTGCAGTCCAGCAGCGTTCTAGATCTGACTGAAAACAGGTACAGCCYCTAACAAGCTGCAGAAAAGCTGCCTACCAGCACTGTCCTGGGTAAYGCTGCCTCAATTTGTCATTTGTTTCCAAGTATGTATCAGCTTTCTTAAAAAAAATATTTTTGATCTTAAATCTTATTCCTAATTTCAACTGACAGAATCCAACGACATTACGCTTCTGTACTGGTATGGTAAGTATTACATTTAACCATTCCAAGAACGCTGGTGGACAGATGGTACTTAAGGGATCTTACACAGGTAAATGATGGCCACTGTCAAAACAGCTGGCAGAGSACTTACTAGATTTACTACAGCAGCAGCTTCTTGATCCCACGTAGGGGAACTGCTGCAAGATGTGTTCTTAACGAGCTGTTTTTTAGATCAAGATAACCCCTTCAACGCATTTACAAGCCATTTTACAGCCGCGCTTCTAATGTACGCTCCTACTCAACGCTCTTAAATCTCATCATCCGATCAGCTGAATCTTGCACAAACGGCAYTCCCGATGCCAGGGGTAACCTTCAGGTGAGGAGGCATCTCGCAGCCTCTGACTGAAGCCTGCTGGGGAGCAGCCCCGCAATGCGTATGCTGCTGCTGCTCCTCGGGATCAATCAATAGGCACCAGGCCCGCGCTCACATCGCTGTGGCCCAGCCGCTCATCCCCGCACGGAGCTCCCGCAGGCCCGGCTGCCCAGGGGCTTTCCGAGGGGTTTTATCCCCGCTCCCTCCCGGCTGTGCCCGGCCCCGCTCCGGCCGGGTCTGCCCGCGGGACCCTCCCGGCAACAAGTGCGGCCCCCGGCCGCCCCAGGCCCCGTTATGTAACAGGCGGGCGGCCACAGCGAGCGCCGCGCATCCCCCGCCGGGCCGGGCCGGGCCGGGCTCTGCCCTCCGCGCCTGCGAACGCTCCGGCCGCCCGGCGCAGGTGAGCGGGGATGACGAGCGGCCACCCCCGCTCCCCTCTGCAGGTGCAGTGGCCACGGTGCGGTCACCCGGGCCCAGCGCCATCCTCCCCCCRCTCCCTGCCCGCGATGTCCGCCCGCCTCCGCGCTCCCTCCCGGCGCAGGGCGCCAAGGACACCGTCCTCTCCCTTCCACCCGCCCGCAGCGCAGCGCAGCTCGGGGGGCGACCCGGACCTGTCGCCCTCACSGTCCCCAAGGCGCCGCGCAGCCTCCCCCGCCCAGCCCGGCCGCGTTACCTCGAGCGGCCGCCGCCGATCCGCAGAGCAGCGCGGCGAGCAGCAGGCGGGCGGCGGGGGCCGGCATGGCAGCGCGGAGCGGGGACGGCAGCGCGCAGCCCCGGCTGGCGCCCCCGCTGGTCCGGGCTCCGCTGTGCGGCGGGCGGAGGGCTCGGCTCGGCCCCGCGAAAGAGGAGGAGGAGGAAGAGGAGGAGGAAGAGGAGGAGGCCCCGCTCCGCTCGCCGTCCCTCCCCTCCCTCCCCCGCCCGCCCCGCCGGCGGCTCCTAAAATGGCGGCCGGGCCCGCGCCGGGCAGCAGCGGGGGAGGGAGCGAACCAACGGCGCGGGGCGGGGGGCGCCGGGAGAGCCCATTGCGGACCCCCGCGGGCTGCGGCGCGCCCCGCCCCCGGCGCTGAGGGCACTGCGGCACCGGCGGGAGCGGCGTTCCTCAGGCTCCCTCAGCTCCTTCAGGCTCCTTCAGCCGCGCTCAGCATCCCTCATCTCCCTCATCTCCCTCAGCCGCGCTTAGCTCCCTCAGCTCCCTCATCTCCCTCAGCATCCCTCAGCCTTCCTCCGCCTCCCTCATCTCCCTCAGCCTCCTCAGCATCCCTCATCTCCCTCAGCATCTCTTAGCCTTCCTCAGCCGCGGCTGCTCCGGGGCGATCGGATCCGTGGAGCTCTTACCGCGGCCTGAACCGAGCCGGGGCTTCCCACCCAGCACACAGGTGAGGAAAGCTGGCGGCCCTCCGACACCTCACACAGCTCATTTAAACTGGTGCACCCAAAGCCTGACACAGCTCATTTAAACTGGTGCCCCCAAAGCCTAACACAGCTGATTTAAATTGGTGCTGATTTAAACTGGTGCCCCCAAAGCCTGACACAGCTGATTTAAATTGGTGCTGATTTAAACTGGTGCACCCAAAGCCTGACACAGCTGATTTAAATTGGTGCTGATTTAAACTGGTGCCCCCCAAAGCCTCACACAGCTGATTTAAATTGGTGCTGATTTAAACTGGTGCACCCAAAGCCTCACACAGGTCATTTAATAAATGATGATTAAGCCCCCAAGTCGTTAGGAGGAGTTAAACCTCGTATAAAGCTATTTAAGAAATAATGAAGCCCTTTATAAAGCTATTTGAATGCTTCCACTGTAACATTCACAGATCTTTTCAGCAAAAAGGCAGAACCACTGTTTTTTCCCAACCCAAAGCTGATGCCGAACAGACAGGTACAGGGATGAACTGGGAATGGGATGCACAAACCCAGTCAGCTGSTGGGCTGGAACAAACTGCCAACAATCACAGCACCATTTAGCTTGGAAAAGACCTTTAATATCATCAAACCAGCCATTAACCCAACAGCCCAGTCTTGCTGCTGTCCCAGCTCTGGAAGTGCAGTCCTGCAGGAATGTGTCYATTTTAACCATGAACACACCTTGGTGCACCCCCGAGGTGCTCACYCCAAGCTGGTGCCCASAGAAGGKGCTCCCCAGGCWCAGGGCTGTGCTTTAACCCCACAGYTCACACTGGGCAGAGTAACAAACCCTTTTAGTGACTTATCAAGGCAAAAGATTACTTCTGTTTGTAAAAAATTTCCCAGTACTATCTGAATCAAGAATTTTCATTAAGTTGCACAGCACTTGTCCTATAATAGAAAAGTTCTTTGCTCYACTATCAAAAATTTCACTTAGAAAATGTTTCAACAAAGGAAAAAATTATYAATACCATGATCAGAGTTTTGACAATTAAAGTGCAAACAACTTATTTTATAATTAGATCTGCCTAGTCATGCTTTGTACCTATTAGCCATTTCACTCCCACAGTGAAATAAAAATAAAGTCCAGAATGTTCAGGAGCCTAGAGATGTGGTATTTCCTTATTTTCCATGCAATTTAAATGCCCAGATTGATCTGTACTGGAAATCCCCTCCCTCCTCAGGCAGGCCCAGGGCTGGTCACCACAGGGTGGAGATGGGGGAGAAACCAAAGGTGAGAAACCAAACTACTCAGTGCCCTGGAGCAGCCACTTCAGACTCACAAGGTGACTGTCAGAGCCAATGCAGCTGGATATCCAAAKGAAAAATGTTCTTCCTCTTCCATCCCCAAACCAAGCCCTTTTACTGCTGTACRTGAGTGTTTGCAGAGCAGAGCAGGAGCCTGAGGAGCCACACACACCCTGGGGCCTAACTGAACACCCCCAGTTAGGATCCTCTGGAGCTCTCCCTTAGCCAAGTTACTCCACATTTATTCCACTGACTGGGGCAGCTGCTCTATCAAGAGCTAAGACATCTTTCTTTTTTTAAATAAAGCTAAAGCCTCAGTCTAAACCTCCTTGATTTCTCAGCCTGGCTAACATATGCTGGATGGCAGATCATGTCAGAAGAAGCCTGGAGCCCATCTGTTGCCAGAGAGCTGAATCTCTACATTCTGCCAACGCAGCTTCAGCTGACAGGGTGCTACACGATATGTTTTSCTTTTGTAGGGAGAGTAGGACTGTCCAGCCCAGTGTGACTCTCAARCCAGGCTTACTAACAGTGTCTGAGTAAAAACCACCCCATTAGTAAAGACTTGCTAGGCAAGATAGCATCAGCTGAAAGATGACTGCCCATTGATGAATACATGGTGTAACACACACCCAAATACTGGATTTTGATTAGGAATCTAATTATGGACAGAGCTTTAATGTCAATATAAAGTTGTCTGAAGAGGTCTGAATGTCTAGCCAGTTGGCATTCGCRTACACAGACTCTAATAAAACATTTMTTGCRAAACAAATTATCRTTAGGTGTGGCAAAAGCACATTTTAAAAGAGCTCTGCATTTCACTTGGACTGTATCATGTATTATCACAGGAGAAAGCAATGCACCATGGATCACAGTGAGAAGGGGTCTTCAGTGTTGCCATCAGGACTCYTAAAGTGTTCTGATTCTGCAGAATGAGGAAGGAGAGACATTTTTAASAGAAGAAATGCTATGTCCAGGTAAACCTTCTTTATTACACAATGACGCTACCAGCTCAGATGAATTCATCAGCTGAATCAGTCATGCTGAAACTGGGAAATTTCCAAGGAAGGAGAAGGCATTGATGGCATTTCACTTTCTAAGCAAAACTCCTCCGAGTCACTTGTGACTAAGGCACTGATTCAGTAAAGCAAACAATTCTTTAGTCTGTATTTTAGGATCAATTTGATGGCTTTGTTTCTTTGGATGACTGAGAGGTTTGAACTGGCAGCTGAGAGGCTGATATGGACAGGATGGGCCCTGCACCYGGGGTGAGGCAGCCAAATGAAATCCTGATCCCTGTCACCACGGATGGTCCACTGGCACTTWCTGTGGAAGTGCAGCAAATACAACATCCTTTCATTTTGTTTCACAAAACTCAATTTGATTTCAATCATGCAGTGTGGGACCTGCTCTGCAGCAAGTCCTGTTTGCTGTTAGGCAAGAGCTGTCCTGTTCCTGACTGCTAGAGGAAACTGCATTTCCCACGCTGACAGAGATCCCCACTCCATCCCAAATGCCACATGTCATTATTTCAGAGAAATTCAGGGAACTAACTTCAGCACCTTCATTTTTACCACTTATCTCCCTCCTACTCTCTGACCTGCTTCTCAAGTTCCAAAACGCCATTGATTTTTATTTTATTGGTAAGCAACAAAACTGGAACAAATGGCTCCTGGCAGAACATGTTTTCTGTTTCAGCTGCAAACCTATCGGCCCGATGTCCTTGAAATGCACAGTGTGACTAATGCCTGGCTCGCAAGGACCCAGGAGGACACATTTATTGCTCTTGTCAGAGTGGAGCTGAGCAGCCAGAACAGAAAAGATAAGGTGATARGGAGAAATGAATGCATTTGCCTGCTCCTGGAAGGCAGGCAGTGCACACCATGAATACAGGAAACAGCAGGACGTGCTCGGGTACATCAAGAGCAGATCTGGATCTGCTCGTKGGAGCTCAGCATCATAAAGGATTTGGAATACAGAATAAGCATTGTTACTTCTGGATCTTAGCCTTGGACTCTTGCTTAAAGGGAGACATACAGGGAAAGGGCCCAAACTTCAGTCTAGAACTGCACTGAGAAAATGRTKGTCTTTAAATAAAGAGRCTKGAACTGGGTATGGGATGGTTTTCATCTCACCACAATTAATGTCTGCACAGTGGTGTGTTTGCAGATGATGATTTCTTTTAAGGGGAAGTTAAAACCCAGCTTTATCTCCTCCACCAATTCCTCACAGCTGCCCTGAAACCACTTCTGAGAAGGGAACAATTGCCATAGAGACTATGCAGTAATTAAGCTCATGAGAGAGCTGCATGCACACTCAAGCAAAATAATAGATGAAGGCAAGAAGAGAGTAGCTTCTGAGAGCTGCCTCACAGCACTGCCCTAGCTGCTCCCATTCCCTCTGGAAAAGGCAACAGGACAATCCCAAAGTGTTTGGGGAGTTTGAATTTTGGTGTTTTCTGGTTCTGACGTGGCTTTATCAAAGACAAGCAGGAAGAACAAACAATAATGAGACTATGAAAAAGACAATTCAAGGTGAATAWAAAGAATTCATTTTGCACAACAAGGTCTATGAAACCTCAGAATATCCTTGCAAGGCAATAGGCAGTAGTGGCATCTTTTGTGCTATTCAAAAAAACCCTCAGCAACAAAATGCCCCTGCCAGCTAGAAGACAAAACACACATAAGTGACCTGTTAGATCATTTCTAGCCTRGCTGTCCCCAACATACACACTCTGAACACAGAAAGGCATAAAACCCATCAGTTTTTAGATTCRGTAGATTAAAATTTTATTATTATTTTTTAATGCTTTGGAATCCAACTGTATATTTTAGAGGAGAAAAAATTAGAGGACTGGTTTTCCCCACACTTGAAAATTTCCAGAACTGCTTTGATCATGTATGAGAATTGATTTAGGGGATGCAAATGAAGGCCTTGGCAATCTGAAGAAGAAAATCTTCTCCCCTGACATTTCTGAACGTTCAGAGAATTCTCAACAAGCCATTGAAGTAGGGGTTCATCAGAGAGACAAAAAGAAAATTCAATAAGCARAGAAGTACATAAAACCAACCAGCTCCCTCACAAGAAAACCAGCAGCATTAGCAATCTTTCYACCTTGTTCAATCCTCTTTGCTGTTCAGACTTACCTTCTATAGCAAAATATGCATCCACAAACATGAAAGCAATGAAGGGGAGATGCAAGTCTTTCCTTACAAAGAGAGACTGAATATTCTGCATCATCATTATAATATTTTACAACTCATTAGCACCTTCCATCCCAGGATCTCCAAGCATTTACAAGCATTAATTAATGCACTCTCACAATAGTTCTGTGAAGCAAAAGGCAGGTGTCTGGATACCGTGGTGACAGGTGCATTACAATTGAATAAGGCAGAATTTCCAGGCTTTCCATTTACATAYTTAGGAAAGAAGGGAACAAAGAAGGGAGGAAAAATTAACAAGTGCTGCAATACCTTGAAATACCTCAAATCAAGATAAACTGTAAATACCTGGAACAGATTGGCTTTCAAGTCTTTACCTAGAAAGCAACACTTGTTAAAGGCCTCAATAATATTTGGGTTTTGTTAAGAAGTCTTTGTTGAGTGAAGCACTATGGTGGKTTTTTTTCCAGTTCTACCAGAGATGTCCCTTTGGGACAGTGTCTTGCCCCTATTTCCTTGTCTGCCAACACAACCCAGTAACACAGCAGGTATAAAAGGATAAACCAACTCATATAATTGCACCAGGTACTGGTGACAGTGCTCAAACTTCTCAGCTTACAGATGTTTTGTATTCTTCAGGCTCATGGCATTCTGCAAACATCTGGGCACACAATGAGGTTTCCTCTCTGCTTTCCCCCTGCAAGGGAGAAGAGAAGAGCCATGTGCATGAGTATTCCCCTCCCCAAGAGCCATATGGGAATGTAAAGGCATTCTCTGAATTCATTACCCGGCCCCACAATATGATTCTGTCTTTGTATGGGCAAGAAAATGGATGTTAATTTATTCCTCATTGCTAATTTGAAAAGGAGCACAAGCACAACAGTTCCATTGCAGAGACTTCTACCAAGGGTATGGTTTAAGTCCAATTATGTGCTATTAGTACATTTGCTCTTTATTCCTGTGGCATATTAATTACATGTCTGGTATTCTGATAATTAACACAATTATACTCTTTATTTCCCCCTTTTTTAGCCAATATCCTTGCATTTTATTCTGGTAATTTTCTGTAGGTAAAAGGAGCCAAATAATCACATGTTAATAAAATCATGCAATGGATTTTTAAATGAACTTAGAGAAGTTACAGCAGTGTTCTTCAGCAAAAAGAAAAGCAGATGCTCTCCTGTTGGGCTGCAGCCTATCTCAGAGATTCCCAAATGAACCCAAATTACCATCCTCTAGTTGTGTATCCAGCAGGATAAAGGAACAATACAGTTCCCGTAGATCAGCCACAAAAACTGTTCTGGACAAAATTTAGAATAGATGCAGATATCCCAATTTCTGAAGCCATGTTTCACCTACATAACCTACCTGTGGTGATTTAAAAAGTCCCTTTTGAAATTACCAAATCAGGAGGAAAATGCCATTTTGCTTTTCTTTTTTCCCCTCTTTTTTCCCCCCTCTCTTTCTCTAAAATTCCAGCTTCTTCCTGGCAGTGCCCTGGCTGTTGAAGTCAGCCTCCTCAGACACGAGTGCAGCTAAATCCTTTGTCATCTCCCATATTTATTTCTGTTSTGACAGATAGCAGTAGTGACCCTTCCTGCAGTAAGCCACTGCCCTGCTGGCCTGCACTCTAATTGCAGCTTTGCTAATCATGTTTTGATCAGGCACCCATCTAATCGCTGCTCGCACGCCAGGAGCGGCCGCGCTGCAGGAGAAGGGCACACACGCAAACAGCCTGGGCTGGCTGGGAAGGATCAGAGGATTAGGGGAGCAGCCAGCCCCGATTAACGCTCCCCGGCTGGGAGCCACCGCAGGGCCCCGTTCCTCCCGTGGGAGCTCCAGGGTTACCGTGTCCCTACACGGACACGTGTCTGCCCTTTGGAAAGCTGGGTGCTGCTCCCCAGGTTTCCTGGCTCCTCTGAAAAGGAAGGTGTTAAGGGTGGGAAAGCTGTGTTAAAGCAGTAACACCGCTCTGGGATTGTACAGAGTTGTGGCTGTCACTGACTCAGTCACTGACCTACCACCAGCAGCAAAACAGCAGAATTGTGTTCAGTGGCTTTTCAAGAGGTGCTATGAACACATTAATCCTAAAAGGGAGCCAGCAATGTTTTGTCTTAACAAAGCAGGACACAAACATCCACTGAGATAAGTCTCATGTAGAGGCAGAACAAACCTCGGGACYCAGCAGGTCCCTCCCCAACCAACCCAATATATGCAAATGAATGGGACTGATTTAGAATAATTACCCCATCCCAASGTGTGCTGCTTTAATGTACTGTTAACTCCATGGTTTCCTCTGCTCAGTGAGGGAAAATAAAACATTTCTGGTGAGTTCTTTTGGAAAGGCTGTGCCCACTTTTTTCATGCAATCTACCTCTGCTGGACCCAACAGGATCTCAAGGACCATCCCACTACTCACACAAAAATTCAACAGCCATGAATTTCCACTTCACTTGTACCTTTTAACGTTTCAGATTTTCTCTTGTTTTCAGCCTGGACAAAGAGCCTCCGAACTGAGACTTGTTACTTTTTCTCCTTCTGATCTATCCACTGTTCAGTGTCTGTCAAAAGTGGATCAGCTGAGTCAGTGGAATGACACACTGTCTTCTGCAAAAGGAAGCAGGGGGGGCTTTAAATCCCATGTTGTGTTAAATGACTGAAGTGCAGTGCTTTGTAGTGCATGCTAACAGCACACACTGCRCCCTGTTTACTGCTGCTTCAATGAGACATTGTCCACAGAGTGGAAGTAAAAAGCTTATGAGATGAGACAGGCATATCATCCTGTCTGAAGCCCAGCTTACACAGGCAGCTTCATGTGGCATGAGGAAGAGCCTCTGGGAATGACAGGTGTCTGTGGAACATTCAAATATGACCCAGGATAGGCCACAGATTTATTGATCTGATCTAAAAATGAGCCTGAGTGYCCAGGTTTGAACAAGGGGTACCTGATGACAGCTGAAACTCCAGAGGCTCTGCAGTGACAGAGGAATCCAAACTGAGCAAGATGCAGAGGAGYGAGTCTGTCTGCAACAGAGTAAACAGGATAAACCTCTTCCATTTGTTAAAGCCATGATTTATGTACAAGATTATCATATGCCATTCTACAGTCTTAATCCTAGACCTTGAAGGAGCAGCAGAGATTAGAGCCTCTGCCCGTTTCCTAAAGCAATGACACAGTAACCAGTGACACATCTCAGACAGGAAAGATGCTAAAGTAACAAAGGGAAAAAAAACCCTAAATGTCTGTAGAATATGCTTTTCTTTTTTTCCCAGTGAAAGGCACACAAAGGCACACATCACACAGTAGAYATGCACAAGAGAATTCAGCACTAGAAGATCTTCATATCCTTTTCCCTCAAGCATCTCTGCTCCCTTTGCTGCCCAGCGCTCGTTCTGCCTAACAGCCCCTTAATCACAGTATCTGTCACACACATAAAATATTATTTAACTTCCAGCACAGAGGAAAATGCATTTATAACCTACTGGGTTTTCCCCTTTAATCTCTCTCTTTCTTCCCTCACTGCTCCCTCCCTCTTTTTAGTAGCTCCAAGCAGTAATGGTGCTAACAACCTTCACAAAGACTTATTCAGGCCCAGACAGGAACCTACTCTGCACTCTGTCAAGACAGGAGACTGAAAAAMAACACGATCTCTTCTTTCCAGCCAGGTGACAGAACACACTCAAACAGATCACAAAAGCACTGTGGCCTCTGCTGCAAAGATGTCAGTAAGTGTCATTTTAGAATTACAGAAACAATTTAATTGTGACTGAGGCTCAACTCAGCCACAACCCAATCCTGCAGACTGAATCTTGTTATGATCCCTCAGTGATATTTAATAGTACTTGTGTTTCAAAAGTATTTTTGTGGCTCTGCTCTGCAGCAAGCTGACACAGCTGAATTTAATGTTCCTCCTTCTGTCTGGGCAGAACTCAAGGTGTTGCCTTTCAGCTTTGAGCACTGCCATGTCKRGGATGTGACAATGCYRARRATCTCGGTCTCTGTGACCCATCTCACCCGTACTCAAGTCAAGGTGTTGTTCCTGACAAATTCTTTCTTTAAACCTGCAAGAACAAGGAAAGGATGTTCTCTGCAGGTTATGAGCTGGCAATCTTTGCATACACGGTGGTACCAGGCCTAGGCTGCTACTTCCTATAGAGCAGGTACCCTGAGCTCTGCTGCTTTTGGTGTCTGCAAAACCCTTAGCAAGCCTTTCCTCATTGTTACTGGGATGTAATTTATCTAAACAAGTCTCAGTTATCCAAGTGTCCCCTCCTCCTTTGGACAATGGCTCTGAAAGTGAAAAGGTTTAATTTAATTCCCTGCACTGCTCCAAACCTCTGACATCTAGACTTTGCTACACTTAGAAGAGAAAATCAGGTAAAAAAGATCATGTAGCTACAAGGGCCAGGGTAACATGTCCCATATAGTTTCAGAAGCTGTGACCTCAGGGTCAAGGTCAGACTAAAACAAAGGCACCGCCGTACACCCATCTGGTGTGAGAGCAGCTAAGCATGTTCAGAACCAGCACGAGGCACAGCTCCCTTTCCAGGGACACTCTGAAGTCTGGTGCTGCTGGCGAGGCAAGGCAAAAGCTTAAGATTCTGTCTGCTTTAATTACCATCGTTCTGCAGCCTCAAAGAAGCTTATGAGAACACAACAGTGAGGCAAAATTCTCCTCCTGTGCTTCCACCTCCAGAAAGTCATCCCTTCCTGACCTGCCCCTATTTCCCTCCCCACACAGCCCAGGGATTTAGCAGAAGCAAGGCATTCAAAAATGC